GGCTGCCACCTCCCAGAATTCTTTTCATCTTGTAGAACTGAAACTCTATTATATTTACTAAGCAGTTGCTCCCCAATTCCCTCCTCCCCCAGCCCCTGGCACCCAACATTCTACTTTCTGAATGTCAGAATGTCTCCTTTTTTGAAGTTTATGTTATTGTGGAAAGAATACTGAACATGAGATCTATCCTCTTAACAAATATGTAAGTGTACACTACAATATCGTTGGCTATGGGTACAATGCTGTTCAGCGAATTGCTAGAACTTATTGCTCTTGCTTAACTGAGACTTTCTGCCCACTGATTAGCAACTCCCCATTTCCTCCTCCCCTAGCCCCTGGTAACTCTTTGATTCTGTGAATTGGACTATTTTTTGTTGTTGTTGTTGAATTTGACTATTTTAGATACCTTAGATAAGTAAAATTGTGCAGTACTTGTCTTTCTGTGACTGGCTTATTCACTTAGCATAATGTCCTCAAAGTTCACCCAAGCTATCACATATTATAGAATTACCTTCGTTTTAAGGCTGAGTAGTATGTTATTTTATATATATAGCACATTTTCTTCATTTATCTGTCGATGATATTTAGGTTATTTTCTATCTTGGCTATTGTGAATAATGCTGCAATAAAGCTTAGGAGGGCTCATCTCTTTGAGATCCTGATTTCAATTCTTTTGGGCATATACACAGAGGTGGAATTCCTGGATAATATGAAAATTCCGTTTTTAACTTTTCGAGGAACCTCCATACTGTTTCCCATAGCAGCGGCACCATTTTATATTCCCACCAATAGTGCACAAGGATTCCATTTTTTTCACATTCTCATCAGCATGTTATTTCCTGTTTTGGGTTTGTTTGTTTGTTTGTTTTTATAATAGCCATCCCACTGGGTATGAGGTAGTATCTCATTGTGGTTTTGATTGGCATTTCCCTAATGATTAGTGATGTTGGCCATCTGCAATGAAATGTCTTTTTCAGAAAAATGTCTATTCAATCAGACCTATTCTTGGTG